ATTCGCATTATGATGGATGGGCTAGCCATCGTCATTGCAATGATGACCAACTGGGATGAACTGAACATAATGGGTTAATGCCCATGTCTTACCCTATTCATGAAATGGGTGAACTATGTAGACAAATTCCATGTGCGACCTTTCTCTTACAGCTGGCAGTTGGTAACTATGGTTATAGTCTGTACATTGTACGCATGCGTTTGGACTCGATACCAAAAGATACCAGCACTGAAACTTCCACAGACCGGGCAGGGCCAAGAAATTCTGTCCCAGCCCCTATTTCTAGATGGGTTTTTCAGCAATAAAACTCCATAAAACTCCATTGAGTTCGGATGCGTTCGGTGGGATTTTCCAGCGGCCATGATGGGCCTATCAAGGGCCATGGCTCCAAGGAATCCTTACTGGGGGACTCGAGTTCAAGTGATGCGAAGAAGGCTATGGAACGCGACCTCAAGGCCGCTGAGCTGAGAAGAATAGTGGAGCTGACAATTCTTTGATGCCGTTGATGCCCTTTGTAGATAGCCTGAATATCTATCAATGGTATTCAATGGTGACAAATAATATAGGCGATGGAGAGGGAGAGAGTGTGATAGATAACGGGATTAACATGGATTCATATGGATGAATATGGATTCAATGGGCTTGATATGTAGATATCCCCTGGTAAACGCACATAGATATTGAAAATCCCCATTTATATATTATATGTATATACGTAGATGATTTATATTATATACCTATTAAAAATTGTGTTTTTTCATAGCTGTGTTACTTTACCAGTAGGTTTCCTGCAAAATATGCTAGTCGTTTATTGTCATGGCTGACTACTGGAGGGAATCTATCACAATTGATATGCGGGACCTTTTGTTTTTCAGAGATTACAAAGACACAAAAGAACATTCAAAGTCTCATGTGACAACTTGGGTTCAGAGTTCGCAACGACATATCAAACATATGGAAAACTACGGGTGCGATTTTATATCATTCTGGGGACGCCTAATTTGATCTAGAAGTACTAAGTCATTGCCACAGCGATCACAGTGATTAGTTGCATGCAAATGGGATTCCGGTCGAATTGGTTGTAATCCTATTTGTAAGCAACAACCAGAGAAGCTTCAATGGCATGATCTGGGTATGCTGCAAATTTCAATTACATGGCTATTCGAAGGCTCTTCCTTGGATTTCATGTCAGATCGGGATCGTTATTCTTACTGTTATTATTGTGTTATCCTTATTGTTGTGTTATTATGATTGTTATCGAAGGAAGTTTAGAAGTCAAACTTCCGACAATATGGAGAGATGAAAAGCAGAGCAGGGCAGAGGCAGAGAGAAGAGGAAGATTAGAAGAGAGAAGATCAGAAGAGAAAGAGAAAGAAGACAGAAGATACAGATGCGCGAAAAGGTAGGAAAGTCGCGAAACACTGTGTTTTTCCAATGATTTGTGGCTCCGGAGGGTCGAAAAGTAGGCTCGCTAAAGCGGCGGGTGCGGAGCCAGCTGGCCACAGGAGCGATGAAAAATTGCACGCCGTTGTGGCGCGAAGCACATTTCCAAGTCAAAATGTACAAAACACCAGTCGGACCACTTTTAAGTTGAGATGTCGAAAAAGTGCACGCCGTTGTGTCATTTCGTCAAAATGACCTCGGACCACTTTTGGAAGTTGAGATGTCGAAAAAGTGCACGCCGTTGTGGCGCGAAGCACATTTCCAAGTCAAAATGTACAAAACACTCAGCGTCGGACCACTTTTGGAAGTTGCGATGTCGAAAAAGTGCACGCCGTTGTGGCGCGAAGCACATTTGAAGTCAAAATGTGCAAAACACCGCATGCTCGGACCACTTTTGGAAGTTGAGATGTTGAAAAAGTGCACGCCGTTGTGGCGCGAAGCACATTTCCAAGTCAAAATGTACAAAACACAGGGGTTCGGACCACTTTTGGAGGTTCAGATGTCGAAAAAGTGCACGCAGTTGTGGCGCGAAGCACATTTCGAAGTCAAAATGTTAAAAGCACTAGGGTTTCGGACCACTTTTGGAGGTTCAGATGTCGCTTCGCTTCCCTTCGCTTCATTACACTACACTACATTACACTACACTACACTCCACTACACTACATTACATTACACTACATTCCACAACACCACAACTACAACTACACAACTACACAACTACACAACTACACAACTACACAGCTACACAACTACACAACTACACTGCACTACACTGCACTACACTGCACTACACCGCACTACACTCAACTACACTAAATTACACTCCACTATACTCCACTACACTAAATTACACTACAGTACACTACACTACACTCCACTACACTACATTACACTACACTCCACTACACTCCAGCACACTAAATTGCACTTCACTACGCTACACTACATTACACTACACTACACTCCACTACACTACATTACACTACACTACGCTACCTTCCACTACACTACACTACATTACACTACACTACACTACATACACTACACTCCACTACGCTACAACTACAACTACAACTACAACTACACAACTACACTCCACTACACTCCACTACACTCCACTACACTAAATTACACTACACTACACTACATTACACTACACTACACTACATTCCACTACACTTCACTACACTACACTACAACTACAACTACACAACTACACTCCAGTACACTAAATTACACTACACTACATTACACTACACTACATTACACTACACTACACCACATTCCACTACACTCCACTACACTACAACTACAACTACACAACTACACTCCACTACACTAAATTACACCACACTACACTACATTACACTACACTCCACTACACTACACTCCACTACACTAAATTACACCACACTTCACTACATTACACTACACTACATTCCACTACACTACAACTACAACTACAACTACACAACTACACTCCACTACGCTAAATTACACTACACTACACAACCTTCCACTACACTTCCCTACATTACACTACAATACACTCCACAACACTACAACTACAACTACACCAGTACACTCCACTACACTAAATTACACTACACTACGCTACCTTCCACTACACTACACTACCTTCCACTACACTACATTACACTACACTACACTACATACACTACACTACACTACAACTACAACTACAACCACGCAACTACACAACTACACTCCACTACACTCCACTACACTAAATTACACTACACTACACTACATTACACTACACTACACTACATTCCACTACACCCCACTACACTACACTACACTACATTACTCTGAATGACACTGCACCACAGATAGACAGGTAGACAGACAGATAGATAGATAGGTAGGTAGGTAGGTAGGTAGTTAGGTCGGTAGTCAGAGAAAGAGAGAGAAAGAGAGGAGATCTCAAGCACCTTTCGGTCCATCAGTGGATTCGCTCTGCCATCCCTGATTCACAACAACCAAGCTCTCCTATAGGTTTCCTATTTTTGAAACTTCCGCCACCGCCTTGTGCGGTACTACTGGTATCCCCATCACATACTAACATTATAATACGGTAATGTTTCGTCCTGATTAGTGTGAGCCCCCCCTCAACAATAGCTATACCCTCTTTAAAGTTGGGTGCCAAAAAGTTGTTCCCCAGGAAAAAAAGCCGCACTTAAGTAAGGATTTCAATTGGCTACAATTGAAATCTAGTTAGAACTTGTTTTTGCCGATGAATTTGAGTTATTTGTAGTACTTGTAGTACTTGTAGCACTTGTAGTACTTGTAGTACTTGCGGAAAAAAATGCTGCAATTCTGAACCCTGAGAACAAACCTAATAAAGTGAACCGGACCCTCTCATGGCCCAGTGCCTTGGAACTTTGTCGAAAAACTGTTTTTAAATAAGGGTTTAATGAGCAATTTGATTCTTTTGGGAACGGCAGACAAGCACAATTTTTTGCAGAAAAAATGTTAAGTGTATTTCACTCAAACATGTTTTTTTTTAAAAAAAATACGGTCTCCCAAGATGTCTTGCCACAATAGCGAACCTGCCAAACAATGCATGGGTTCAGAATATTTCGGTGTTTTTTTTGGCACAATAGCGAATCTAGCTACTAATCAGGATACAACATTATTTCATCGATTCCTATGTTCATTGTGATTCCTGTATTCATTGTCATTTACCATCTTGTTATTTAACATAGCCATGGAAAATCACAGTTTTTAAGAACGGTAAACCATGGTAAACCATCTATTTTTATGGGCCATCTATACCATGGCTATGTTAGTCATACCCAGAGGGTGTCGCTACGTCCGCCTTGATGCTGCAGGCAACCTATATGCGTTCCTTGCGATGTGGTGGGGATGGGGCGAACTTTTGTGACATGGTGGACATGGTTGACAAGAAGATAACCCCATCATAGACATATCAAAAACGGGATGTAATGATACAATCCCACTATATACTATGATCATAATCATAATCATAGTCATTTTATATACAATCAGGATTGCTCCAACCCATTGTAGATAAATGATAGCCACTTTTGGGGGTCAAATCAATCACGTGACCTCTATATTTACCCGATTTACCACCCCAACCGTACCTGGGGTGTTTGAAGCAAGCCGGTCGAATATTAAACACCCCCTTAACGGGTGCCACGTATGTATATATAATTTTTCTACTAGAGTAAATAAGCCATCGTTTCTGGGTGATGTGTTATATTTGGGGGGAAGGAATTACAGAAGGCTGTGAAACCTGTCTAGCATTCTAGCATTGTCTAGCCACAGATGCATTAGAATATGAATTCACATTTGATACAGGGGGAGCCGGTCAGTAAGTGCGATCCTTTTGTGTCACTTCACCTTTCGACTTCACCTCTCCAGCTAGTCCATGCCTGTCTTGAGGTATAAGGGCCCCTGGCCCACCAACAAAAACATCTGTGACAACCATGTACCCTCAGGTTATCAAACAAGGCAATTAGAAAACGCCTACCAGCCACGTTTTGATTACCGCAGGGTGACCATGTTTCATGGAAGTTGATCCGCTGTTCACTGCGACTACGGCTGAGGCCATACCAAGAAAGGCCCAAAAGGAGTCGCTGAGATGGCAAGAGATTGAGACTGTGAACTAGATGGCTAGTTTAAAAACTGTTCAACATTTGATGGCCCGTGTTAGGTGGATTGCAGGTGTGAGTGCCATCCTGAATGTAATTGGTGCACAAATGGATGCGTCATCCCATGATCTGGATGTTCAACCTGATGAATGAAAAACCTATCATCTTCAGGTGTTTTTGTTAATCACCCATTAAAACCCATTTATGGTATTATTGGGGTGGTTTATGATGGTTTATTATTGGATGTATCACATCCCACTAATTAGTTCTTGCTGACTCAAACCTTTATTTCCCAGCACTTGTGACACCTTCGGCATGCAGCTTTTGCATTTCGCACTTGTTGGTCCTTAGGGGACCCAATTGAGGATTGTTGAGCGGGCAAACTCTCAATGTTTAAGTAAACTCAAATGACAAATTGGGATGATTTCACATGCGTGCTTTGGTTTTCGGACATCTTGTATGACTCTAATTTGTACCACCTATATCCACCCGCGAGATACTCTTGCCGCTTTTTCAGGAGGTGACTGTTTATCAAAGCATTGCTTGCTGTACATGGCTGATGCTTCCCCAATGCTTACCAACTGCCTGTCCAATTTTCATCAAGTTTCCCCGCTCCGCCCAGAGCGGTGCTCGCTACATGTCGCTGGAAACCACCGACTTGGAAAATCAGCAAGCGCCAAAGACCCGCTGGCCGCTGGTCCTAAGCGCTGCGGAGCCAGGATGTTTATTGCTCGACTTTTCATGTCATCCCAAGATGAACCAAAGCCCTGGGCGATTTTGATACGAGATGCCAATAAAATTCATAGGATCTTAACAGGCTGGGAGCCTCCCAATTAATATTCTGCCAATGTACATTATTCCGAGGTTGACATCATATGGTTATGGAGGGCATTACTTTACATCATTCGCTGGGAAGATAATTACTAGCAAATCTGGGGGTGTCATCCAACAACCGCACCTCCCCTTGGGGTCTTCCACTGTCTGTTAGTTCGAGCAGGCAGTTCCCATGGCCAGTAAACCACTCTTTTTTCCAAACATATATATACACAACATATAACATACATAAATAGATATAAATAGAATCCAGAATGAGCGGTATGAGTTACTAGGTATGAGAGAATCATCCTAGGCGACAAGTGAAAAATGTTTGGAGGCCAGTGGTGCTCTACGAAGTTCATTTTCAACAAATGCATGGCATGAAGCCAAGGTGGGCCTCGCAGTTTGTCCGGAATTAAGACACATGTTATGGGAAAGCGATGAAAAATCTGTGGAAATGCAACTTTCCAACTTGGTTGGCTGGAGATATGTAGCCAGGGGCTAGAAGATGAACCAGAAGCTTGGCCTGCCGTGGCTATGGATGACCAATTTCTTTCGGTGATTGCCCTAGCCACACTGTCATGCAGACCCTGCTGCAACTCAGTTCAGCGATGCAAACATGCTGCCGGGCAGTTCTGAACAGCCACTACTTTGATGCGCCTTGGCCGACGCTGTTGGGGAAAGCCTGCTTAGCAAAGTTGGTTGCATGCCAGGTACACATTTGCATGGCAGTACGTAGCTTCCATTGTTTACGGTACCAATGTTGATACATAGGATTTCTTTGGACGAGCTCCAGCGGCTAGCCACCACCCAATCCTCAAGGAATCAGTAGATGCTCCTGCTGGCACTTGCCAGTGAATCCCGCCCGAGAAATGCCGCATCTCTACCATAGATATCGCAGGTCTTGAGCGCCTGGCTGGTGGTCTTTAACGCCCTGTGGATCGGTCTCAGCACTGACGCTGGGCAGTGGAACCCCCGGGATGATTTTTTAAGCCGAGAAGATCTGTAGATATCTGTAGAACTGGTTGGTGGTTTGGAACATGGCTTTTATTTTCCCCAATAGTTGGGAATAGTAACCCCAACTGACGAACTCATATTTTTCAGAGGAGTAGGGTTGAAACCACCAACCAGATGTTTCTTTTCAGTGTTTTTACGCTTCAAAAATTGATTATAAACATTATGTGGTTCCTGTCTAAGTTCGCTGAAACTCCAACCAATTCATTCAATATCATTCAATATTAGATGGGTGGTGGCAGGAACATCCCCATGTTTCACGCTTGTCTCCATGCTTGGTTTGTCGATCACCATTGGATGGGTATGCGTATCTTGAAAACCGCCCAGGAACTAGAAGATTGGAAGTACTAAATATTGGGCTCAACGGAAAATGATGGAAAAATCAATTAGGGCATGGTTGTTTCAAGAGATCCGTGCCCGAAACCTGACATGGAAATCATATGAATTCATGGAATTGTCATGCCGCAGTAAAAACACACAACATGTCCAAGACATGTCCAAACCATCTGCAAATTTGGGCTACTTGATGTTACTTGACTATTATCTTTTTTAAGCAGGGCTATAAAAAAGACTTTTTTCGAGACCACGCCTACAAGAAAGGTGATGTGCCGTGCGGTCCTCGAAACGCCGTACTCAGATCAGTTTTCCACCCTTGCAACTTCCAAGAATTTTCCAGAAGGATCTTGTCCACTGTAGCAACCCCCAAAAGATAGAAAAGTACATGATCTTATTTTGGTGTGATTTTACTTTTCTTTCTGTTGTATAGGTTTTTCATGGTTTTTCCTATAATTATCTTTCTGTGATATCGCCCCGACATCCCAACATCTTCGTGTCGTTTCCCAACATCCCAAGCAGGATTGGGTGGCACGGAACTGGAGCCAGAATATGCCTGACTGGTTCCACTACGGAGTGTCTTGGCTGATTTGAGGCTGGGGATCCCACGGCTAGGCGGAGTTTGATTTAAGGGTTTTTTTTGGATCTGAATGGATGCTATCATGGGCAAGTGAAATAGTGTGTAATCCTTTCCCCCTAATACTAAACGTCCCCCCCCTATTAATAAACACCTCAGGTAGTTTTCAGTATTAGGGGGGTATTTATTATTGAGAGCAGGACGCTGTGGGAGTGCACTTTTTTGTTGTTTTTTCAAAACTGTAATCACATTAAAGCTTAAGCTACGGATGAAGCTGTGTTCATGTCCACTAGATAGCATGTATTGCTTGAAGAAGTGTCCAGGTCTTCACTCTACCTTAGATAAATGCTACTACATTGTCCCTTCAAAAAGACACCATTTCCGCAGAATATGCTAGATGATTTCAACACAATTACAACATCCCCATACCTGCCAACAAATGCAGTATTCAAAACAAATATATCCTTCTGAATAAGAGTAATCTTCCTTTGGGGCAACGCAGTGTGTTTTTGCAGGGACAATATCCAAACAAAATATGAAGTATTCCTTGAAAAATTGCACCATGCCCTTTGAAGGAGTGCAGGGTGCATTTCCAGATGTCTAACCGTCCTTTCAAAGGAGCAGTACCCCTTTAGCAAAGTCCATATTTCTGCATGATATATTCAGTATTATTGACATAGGGCATCACTTTCAAAAGCGCAATATGTTTGAAATTGTGAGCAGTACCATATGTTCAAACAATGTTTGATTGTCTTAAGATTTAGCGATGCACATTCTTCAAATTACAATATTTTTCAAGAGGGGAGCTGCCTACACCAAAGGGTGTTATTCCCAGAATATGGTTCGTTGTCTTGGAAGAATATCACATTATGCATTCAGATATATGATGTGCAATAGTGAAAGACATATCTTACGTGCTTAAATGTGTTCTTCATTTAAGAAAAATATTGTGCAAAGGGCATTGCATGTGCAAGAGGGCTCATTTTTGACATAGAAGTAGACTAAGACATGACCTACTTCAATGGGATGCTCTACCGGGCTCTACCATTTTATAAAAGAAATGCACTTGTTGAAGGAAGCACTCACTTCAAAGAGATGCATCACTCCTTTTCAAGGGAATCTTTCAAAGTGTTTGAACATGTGCTAATCCAAGGGTTTGAGCCAAGAATGTCAATATCAAAATCAGTTCTACACATTCATTGGCTGCCTATGTTTTTGCATTTGTTCAACACCGTTTTTGAAACATTACACAAACAGACAAAATTGCCTAATTGTGTCCCAAGCCCCCTAAGCTTCCTCCAGTGATACCTGCATTTTGCCATAGTTGTTTACATTGTTTTCTACTGGAACCACAGGCCAAAAGCAAATAATAAAATCAACCAAAAACAAGTTTGCAACCCCTAAAGTGGGAGAACTGGCAAAGAGTTAGGTCTAGGTCCTTAGCCCTTCAAAAAACCAACAACAAACCAGAAAACAAGAAACCAAAAAACCAAGAAACCAAAAAAACAAAAACAAAAAACCAAGAAACCAAAAAACAAGAACAAAAAAAACACAAGATTGCACACCCCAAGGGGGGGAGTAGTGGCAAGAGTTGGGTCTTGTCATTTTGTTTTTTTTGTTTTGTTTTGTTTTTTTTTGGTTTCTTGTTTGTTTGGTTTTTTGGATTTTGGTTTTGTTTAGCCATTGCAGAAGACCTAAGCAGAAATTGTCAATGGTTGAAAAGCAGTGATAGAACCATGGCACATGTGCAGTGTCAGTGGTTGCAGAATGCAGTGAAAAACCGCACTCCCAGGGTGTCCCCTTCTGTTATTCTTGGGGAACCCTATTAATAAAATTAAATTAAACCCCTTAACTTTAACAATAAAAACTAGTTTGTTCGGTTTCAAAATCAATTATATAAATTTCCTTATACAACGCAATTAATATATTGCCAAAAATTGGATTTCGAAGCGGACACTATTAATAAAATTAAACCCTTAATAATAGAAACGTTTTTTCCCGATTTCAAAATCAATTAAATTTCCTTATATAACGCAATTAAAATATTGCCAAAAATTGGTTTTCGAAGCGGGCCCTAATAAGAAATTAAATGAAAATAATATAAACACAAAAAAATCGGACGGATCTAATAATAAACACCCCGGGGTGAACTAGTTTTTAGTATTAGGGGGCAAAACCCACAAATGGTAGCTTTATTTTAAAATTGTTTTCTAAAAGGGGGTCAATTAAAAGTCAAATTGGCCAATCTGAATTTTTCTGAAATTGGAGATGGACTCCTGTTCTTAGTATTTGGGGGACGTTTAGTAATAGGGGGAAGGGATTATACAGATGTATGGGTGGAATTTCCAGCCACAGATATATTCAAGCCATGAGAGAAGCACCGGTGATGACCTGTGTGGGCCCATGGGTTGTCCATCAAAAGCATGGGACATGAAACATGGAGAACATGTCCCATGATTCCATGATAGGAAACGAGATGTTCCCATCAAAAGCCAATGCCGAAAACATGAGATGTTTTCTCATCTCCTGAGGGAAACAACAACATTTCAGCGGGATGTCCCATCCAAGTCATTTCCCGATCCGAAAAGGATTGGGCCTTTTGTATCTCGGCCATTGGCGAGCTCTTCATCCGGATGTGCGGACAGGGACTTCATTTCTTCTATGAGGACGTCCTATTACATCTATTCCCGAGATGAGGTACCGGTGAAGCAGGGAAGTGAACAGCTAAGGATACCCTCTGGTAAGTTTTCACAGTTTGCTGTCTGATTTTCCATCTTTACTTGGGGATTGATCATAGGACCTAAATGGGCCATTCTCCCTTGTCCCTGGCCATGTTAGTTTACTGGAGAGTACGGGATCTACAGGAGCAATCAATAGATACAGATCGAGAACTTGCAAACAGAAGTTGAATGTAAAGATTGGTGTGTAGGGTAACCAGTCAAACAGAAGCCTCACTCACATGACCTTTGCTTGCTCTCCTTGATCCTATGGGTTTCGCACCTTGATGTGTTAATTAGTTTTAAATCATGCGCCATGGAGTGACCTTGGATGTTCAAACCCGACAAGAAACACATGATTGCTGGTAAACGGCCATGGTGTTGTTTGTTGTTCCTTTCAGTCAACTGAACACAAAGTAGAGATTAATCAAAAGAGATCAAAAGAGTTCAAATCCCACCTTTGCAACCTGGCAAGTTATGACTTGCGTGTCATAATATGCGCATATTTTTGCGTTTCATTATTCTCACGGATTTGGTTTATGGGAAACTTTACAGGAGACCCTGGCATTTTCATGCATTTTCTTTGTTAGTCCAAAAATATAGGGCGTTCCTACAGGATGTTCCAGGCATATTAATGGTGGATTTGCACATTTCCGGTCTCATTTAGGATGTGTTTCATTTGCAGATACTGGGGGGATGGGATTTATCGCCATTATAAATAAATAAATAAATGAATGAATATATGATATATATATATGTATATATGATATATATATATATATGTGTGTGTATATATATATGGTATATATATATATGTGTGTGTGTGTGTCATATATATATTATATCATATATCCCATGTTGTATCAATATTCCATTAAAAATGTTGATGTATCATTCCATATGAAATATCATCCATGTCAGCCCAACGACTCAACGAGTCGCCTTTCCGTGGGACCTGTAGGACCACTGGAGATGGAACCTCTTCGATACCATCGTGGTGGCCACGCAGGTAGCTGACCTTGGCGGAAGCACCTGGGCGACCGGGGCGACCTGGGCGACCTGGTTGGTTTCCTGTGTTTTCCCGTGGTTTTTGGGTTGTTTTTGTTGGAATTGTGTTGAATGATGTTTGGTATATGATGATGTGTTCTTATGACTAGGTTGGTGTTTTTCTGATCTAATTTTATATAATATCAATAATTATGAAGGTTTGCTGTATGATTATTATGTTGATTGGAAGTTTGAGAAGTTTGATGTTTGTTTTGTTTTTGGGCGTTTCAATGGGAAATAGATTATAAGTTGTATGTGCAAGTATATGCTGCGTTTGGGGATGGACAAGTTGCTGTTTTAAGTTATTTGACCGATATTCCAGTGCAGTACACGCTTCGAGTCTGTGCCATGTGCCACCAAATGAGAATTTGAGGTACCAATTTCCTTTCACTTTCCTTTGCGCCAAGTTCCAGATCTTTCCACTGTACCGACTATACCATCATGAAACGCTAGGTGAATGATCTTTGAGTTCGCCAAACGGTTCGCGGCCTGCGAATGCATCCCGTAAAACCCCAAGGTACAGAGGTTGACAACTCCGAAGCATAGAGCTATACCGAGCTAATACCAAGCTATCTTGTAACATCCAAGTATACCAGGAAAAAATTACAAGGAAACCATGGAAAACCCTGATGTTCATGGAACACATCATGGGTTCCGGCAGATTTTCCCATGAATCACCAGGGAATAAGCTGCCCTAAGGTGTCCTGGAACGTTCAGCCACCGGAGGGCCCAGCCATCCTTCTTTGCAAGGCCCGCCTAGTTTTTCATGTTTTTCTACAAGAGGATGATGAGGATGTAGTAGGACTTAGATGACAGTCTGCCAACTTCTCTTTCCAACAATAAGCATTTGTGTTTTCATCCTGATTTTGCTTGGTGAAACTTAAAATGGAAGGTCTTAAACTCACGATGTTTCTTGCTTTCATCCCATTTCATCCCCATATTTGCTACAAAATCTCATGCGCGCCAAATCTCGCGCCTTGCGAGGTCTGAGGGTCCTGAAGTTGGTGCGCATCCTGCGCATTGCTCGCATTGCCTCCGTCTTCCCCGAGCTGCACATTTTGATCAGTTACATCATGGCGCCTCTGCGAACTCATCATGGGTGGGGTGCAACGCGTGTTTTCAAACATATTTATATATGCATTATATATGCATTGGGGTCGTAATTTAGAGCTGCACATTTTGAAGGGTTAGGCTTTTGTAGGATGTTTTCCGAAAAATCCTTGAATGGGGGCGCAGAATAGGGTGCTGACACTATTTGACTGCTGATGCGCGTGTCGGAAAAGAAAAGAACATAGAAAAAGCGGGTGTTTGTTTGAACAAGTTACCTGCTGGTAATCAAACATGGCTGCGAAATCCTTGCTATAAACCTCCATTTAGTTTGGAAATTTCCCAGATCCTATGTTTGATTACCAGAGGGTAAACTTCATAGGTAGGGGGCACGCAGCAACAACACGTTTGGAGGGATGAAAGCATCGCAGATGAAAATTTAAGCTGAGGTAGGCGGCTGTGTTGACCAAGAACCACCTGGAATATGAGCATTACAAACCCCAAAAAAGTTGTTATTTGAAACATTGCAAAATGTCTAGACCTACAATATCAAAGTGCCATGTTGGGATTTTACGGTCATTTGTAGGGGCTGATATCTTCGACATTTGTTTGGAACAACAACAATTGGGCATTTGGGGTCGATGTCTGTCTTCGCGCCTGAGGATTCACTTCAATCACTCTTCTGGACGATGGTCCTGATTTTCGCGTGCCTTTATGCTGTGTCAGTGGTTCCTTGGTTCCCGGTTCATGGAAGTGACGAAACGACTTGGAAGTACACTCTGGTATGAAACAAACCCATGGAAAATGACAACTATTCATATATAGGTCCTGTTGAACATGGCCATTTTCCATAGCAAACTGTTATAGTTTATTGGAAGGTAGCTGGATCTAGCTGGACAGGGGGGGATCCAGCGCAGGTTATCACTCAGCTCGTCTCTGATCACAAGATCGCTGTGGGCGCCTAGGTTGCAATGTGTTTTTTTTTCACCAGGCAGCCAGTACCAATTCACTCCCCGTGGTTCACCTGATAAACATCTACAGGGCTGATTTCCCCCACATACAGCAATGGTATATGTGTGAAGTGTGGGTACTCAGAAAGTTGACGATTCATATGGAACATGGCGTGAAATGTCCAAAATTTGCTGGTTGCAAGGGTCTTACATTTTGAAGTATCTCGACCCATACTTAATATTTTCGGTTGAACACCTATTTTTGCTGGTTATATAAATCCCCGATGCTGCTGTTTTTGTGGGTGAAAAATCAGCCTCTGTTTTTCCCACCGGAACTCACAGCCGCATGGTGAGGAAAAGAAGGCATGGAAGCCGGTGGAAAGGAGTAACTTGGTGCAGCTCAGAGCCATTGCCCCAGTGTAATTAATTTGGACATGATGACAGAAGCTAAGGTTTTTTTTGGGGGGTGACATCCACTATCACTATATTTTTAACTGGTTGCTTATGGTGGTTCAAATATCAAAAAATGTGGCGTGGATTGGAGGTTTTTTGGAGGTTGTGAGATCCATTTTTCACCAGACATCCAGGAAGAAGCCCCACTCGGCACTGAGGGAGATGCTGGAATTCTTTGGGTCGCTGGACACTACGATGATTTCCCTCTACATGGCATCTTGGATCACTAACAGCCGCGCTTGCTGAGCTTGCTTACACTGCTTACACTAGAATGGTTTCAGCACTTGTTAAGCGGCACGTGGGACTTATTTGCACATTGGGGGTTGGGTATTTTTCAATGATTGAGGGAAGTGGAAATCTGGATATCCTGCTCGGCCGCATCTAATGGCTTCCCCATGCCATGGAGGCTGAAAGAACGTGAACACGTGAAGAATTGGGATCATAGGGGTTGGATATATGATCGCGACCAAGGATTGACATCACCTCCTTGATGCCTCTGAAGTAGCACCATCATTGATCAACATAAGATTCCAATGGCATATGCAAATGACATTCATGAAACTTGCGCCATGTGAATATGAATATGCAGATGCTGCATGTGTGCAGAGGTTTTGTCAGTTTACATGGCCGCCATGGCCCATCGGCCCGCACCGAAACCAGCGCAGGTGATTTCTGAAGGCATCCACTGGAAGGAGTTGATGGACCCACTGGCGGAGAACATGGGCAGCTGGGTGCGGGTGGTCTTCGTGGCCTTCACAGGCAACAAACTCGAATGTTGGAACAAACAATGGGAATATATGGGAATATAAGATATATAAGCAATCAGAATGGCATATACATACGTTACATACCCACATAATCCCACATATCCATATAACCCCCATATGATATTTATTATGAAGATTGTATATAGGGATTATATGGATATGTGGGGAAGTACCTCAGAATATGGGGATATAATTGGTTGACCCACCTTTGGTGATCTCATGCGATATGTCATTGGTATTGGGAGAATATGGGACATGGATATGCCGCTGATATGCCATTCCCTAGTCGAAGTCTCGACCCTGCCATGACTGCCATCACTTTCCTTGTGGGATCGGTATGGGTATGGCACTTGAGGTGCTGAAACAGCCTCTGGTAAACATACAAAAAGCTATGGTATAGATAAAAGATTGCCCATTGAAAGGGTTGATTTACCTATTATGGCGTTTTATTCCATAGCTATGTTAGTTATCAGAGGGATCCAGAGGGTAACTGTGAAGATAAGAATTACAGTATATACTACGGACAAGTTCCTAATACTACCCTCTGGTTATTTAACATAGCCATGGAAAATCACCATTTTTAATAGGTAAATCATCTATAAATGATTATAAATGGACCATTTTCCATGGCCATGTTAGTCATAACCAGAGGGTAACCAAGAGACATGGGGATGAAATCCAGCAATGGTGGATCCACAATAGTCATTGGGATGGTTATTGGGAACTGTTTTTCAGTAAGGGTATCGACCATGCCGCAGACTGCCGGGAACAGTTGTGGTGAATGAATTTGAGTATGCCGTGAGTCTCGGTATGATTTATGATTTATAACTGCCCCAACATGGTTGAGACTTGAGGATGTGTTTTGATTGCGGATGCCACATTAGAATTATCACATGGTGTGTTGAATGATTTCTTTCCACCATACCTCGGATGATGATCTGACAAACAAAACTGCTATGACAAACAACTGCCGCGAAAGGCTTCGAGCTTTTCGCGATGATGAACATTATTACCGCCTGTTTTGTCGACAGTGTGCCTTGGTCATCCATTTTTCTTGGACGGCAGCTGGGATTTTTTTGCGATAGCCTCAATGTTAAGTAGTGGCAAAACCTAAACCTGTCATGTTGGGAAGCAGCAGTATTTGTGTCCCACAGATTTACATTTATCAGTAGAACACGCATGTACGCACCCTCGATAGATTCTGGTTCAAGTATGCATGGACCATAGCCTTGCATTGTTGAAGCCCCTTTTATCCAAATTGAAAATGCCTATGCTAACGCTATCATTTTGGGGGGTCGAAAGCACCAATCAGATCCCCTCGTTACACATCCGCATTTTGGATGTATTTGATATTGGTTATAACTTATTACCCCAGTTCTTCTTGTCATGATATCTGTATTTCATTGCATTTTGTTCAGACTTGAGGCTATGAAGATCGCTGCCAATGCAGAAAAACAGGCGCTGGGGGCTGGGGCAGGACTTGGTTGCAATGGTAGCTGATGTAAACTCCACAGCATCCCTCGTTTACCTCAGTACTTGTGCACTGAACATGTGCTATGACCTTCCACAAAACCTCAGCCCTCGGCCGCTGCAGGAATGTTTGGATTCCCTGTGGGGCCTCCTGGATCAGGAAGCGGTCTATGATGCCACGCGGTCGCATCCCGCTTGTGGGGTAGCTATACAATGACTTCAGCCATAGATTTATTCCGTTTACCCTCTGGTAAACTAACATAACTATGGAAAATCACCATTTATAGTGGATTTTCCCCATAAAAAATGGTGATTTCCATATAGTTATGTGACAGTTTACCAGAGGGTATATCTATTTATAAGATGGATTGCACCATCCCATCATCCCATCTTAGAATCTGAACTGGGTTTCCAATAACCAAAAAGTTTTGGCCCATTGGAGCGGCGGATTCTCCACTCTCTTTTTTTCCAGGCGAAGATTCAGAAAAAGGTGGTCACTAAGGAGCAGTTCATCGGAAACTATGGTGAGCCCAGACGCTGGGCGTAGGCAGCGCAGGAGTGTTTCACTGGTGGTCATGGTGGTCATGATGAAAAGCTGAGATTTAAGCGATTTGACATGATTTGACCAAGAAAAATTGGGACTGGAATATTTATGGATGATTGATGGATCATTATTTTTGTTACCCTTCGGTAGTCAAAGGTGGCTGGGAAGTCCCTTATGAATTTATAGCTTTAGAGCCAGGAAAATCATCAAAGAACAGGGGGGATCTTCCATTGCCATGTTTGAGAAATCAAAGGGGAGAAAAGACCAGAGGAGCACGTTTGTAGCTGTGAACATTATATTATCACATAATATATATATATATAATATATACATATATTATAGTATTTTATATTCTATATTATACATTATTATATATATATTGGGTATATTATTATTTATCTATCAATCTGTGGATCTATCTATCGATCTATGTAACTACCTATCTCCCTCTTTTTAACTGAACTAGACTAGACTAAATTAGACCAGACTAAACTAAACTCTGTGACTGGCTGACTAAGTGACTGACGAACTAATCACTACTGTAAACAGTGCTGCTGTTTCACCAGCTCCTCGAAGTATGGCCAAGGTATGACCAAATTCCTGGAACCTTGGATCAACGGGATGTTGGCGCGTCTTTTGTTCCACAGTTTGTATGGCTGTTTTGATTTAGGAAATCACCATGTTCAAATATGTTCAATAGGAATACAACTACAAAGAGATGGTATGATGTATGATTGAGAACAAGAAGACGCAGAATGTTGGGGGTGAACAGATCATCCCTCTTTTTTTAGACAAAAAGAACGCTTTGATGTTGATGGGCCATGGGCCATTGGGGTTGTGAAAAGGCTCATTGGCAAACTGGCAAACCTGCCCCAGCCGAAAAAACAAAATAGTCCCATGTAGCCAAGCTCAAGACCCCTCAAAGCAACAGTGCTAGTGCCCCAAAAAAAAGTGTTTCGTTTTAAGGGGCCTGGCTGCCTGGCTCTAACGTTTTCTGACGCTTTTCAGGACCTTATCAATGCCCACACAGAAGACCCAAAGCAGGTCTTTGCCATGATCGATCGCTACTTGGCACCATGCTGATGGTATGGGATTTATCAGCTGGGTCAAACATTAGCCATACAAACAGGCTGTGCCATGGTGATTCTTCTTCGCTGATGTGAGTTTTCCACTACCTGGTGTGACTTTTCTGTATCGCCGCTGTGACATGGGGATGATGTGACTTTCCCCGCCTGATGTGACTTAAGTACGGTGCTTGTACAGGTATGATATATTTAGACTACCTGCATCTACTCCTGAGATCATCCAAAAAACGTTGCAACAAGTAAAGCATTGACCATCCGAGCAAGTTCCTAGACACAGCGTGCCATTGTCGTTATTTGCATGTATATGTATGTAGTATGTCAAAATATCTTGTTTCAATAGCCCAGTCATGCATGTAGATGTAGCATGATGTAGCTATATAGATTTAACTTGCCATGACAGAAACATGTGGACGATTAGGGATGCCTAAAAGGATCGTGTTTCTTCCAGGACCAAGGCCGTCCGATGTTCACATCTATCGCTGTGCTGTAAATTGGCGCTTTGTCTTCGCAAATCAAATATGACAATGGCTGAAATCCCCATGGTTTCTAGAAATTCGCATGGTTTCCATGCAAAAAATCACCTATCAACCTAATATCATCTAATATCATCTATATAATATCATCTCATATCACCTTATATCATCTAATATCATTTGATATCATCTTATATCATGATATTGTGTTATGGCATTTTATGGTTTTTAATTGTTCAACCAGATGATTTGTCCCAAACGTCGGGGAGATCGAACCAGCTGGACGGTTTAGGTGATGGTGATGGTACCCTGACCGCGCCGGAGTTCCTGATTTGCTGCGAACGCCTCATGGGCCCCTCCAAGGCCGGCTTGGGTGAAGGGTGAAGGGTGAAGGGTGGGGTATTGGCGGATCTAAGCAATACGGAAAATCCACCCATTTTTAATAGGTAAACCATCTATTTCTATGGGCCATCTATCCCATGGCTATGTTAAATAACCAGAGGGTATGTATATTAAATTAACTACTGTAATTAATTGATTATAGAATTAATTTTCATAATTCTACACATGCATATGTATATTGTATATATGCATACGGATAATTAATGGATCATTATTGGTATATACCCTCTGGTGTCATCAAACATTGCTGGAAAACCCCGGCCGGGCCAAATGGAGGTTTGATTGCCGGAGGGTAAATCGGAACATCTAAATTGCCCTTTTTGGGTGGATTTTTGATGATTTTTGTGCATGGTGTACATGTGTATCTAAGGTTCTCCGCGGTGGGTCTGAAATATATTGAAATCCTAGAACCAGCTTTTTTAGTGGGTTTTGACGCAAAGTATGAATCAAGAAGTGTTGCATTGTCTCAAATATGAGGAAAACAGCTGCATGAGGTGCAGGTCGCCAGTACAACTTATACACCTCAAAGAAATTGAGAAATTGTTCCAGTGGACGCGTGCTTTATGAGTGGTAATCGCACAATTTGGCCATAATCTCTCCATTATTTACATGTATTCTTCAATTTGTTTGTGCCCAACATTTTCCTGGCTGGATTTGATCGCCTCGCGGCAATCCGTCCTAGTTTGGATGGATCCAATGTGCTAAGGCCAGCATGTTGGTGAAGATCGCAAACGAGCAGTGACTTGGTACTCTGCGACCCTTAAATTTGTTCGATCCCGTGGCTTAAGGAATTTTCATTCCTTAAGTTTGTTTGATCTCATCCCCACGTTTCTTACTGTCGCCCCCGGTTTTTTTTAACGATTCTTTGTGCTGTCATCCAACGGTTTCGTTCACTGACCATTTTGGCTGGTCAAATCCTGCATGTCTAAGGCGAGTGAAGATGGAAACACAGGACAGGGCAACCTCCATGCCTTGGGAAGGTGATGAAATTGTCACATCTGCTGTTGCAGCCCCAAGGGGGCGGCAAGCAACATAGCTTGGGACTCTATCAACAGGCGTAAATAACACAAAACGTCACACAACAAATTCGGATGGAACCAGTGAAGATGGTAAGATAGCCAAGAACCGTGAGGATTTCAAGGCCCTCACAAAGAATGCTGGTCGGAATGTGGAGATGATCATTAAAGAGGGCCCACTATGTTTGGCACCGGAGCTGAGGGTCCATCACACTGTCCACGTTCGCCGTCTCTTGCTGAGACAGTGTACAGATTCGGGGCAAAGCAGAGTTACCTGACAAGAACCTCACCATGAATCGCATGAATGATGGGTAGTCAAGTGATCATCTCAGAAACATGCAAGAAAAAACTTACCTCAGTTTATCCCTTGTTTCTTAGGCAGATTGCCCCCACCTAATGGTGGAAGTGGACGACTCACCACCCTCAAGACTAGCATTGGTTTCCTACCCCTTGTTTCTTGGGCTTTAAAGATTTGAAAATTCTGCTATGGTTCCATCATGTTCCATCGAGATATAAGATATGGACATGTGCGTATGCATGATATGCATGTGCCAATACGTATTAATGCACCTTGCCCACTGAACCTGACCACCCCACTGGACGACCGTGCCCCGCGCTGTTCCGCCCATGGCCGGTGGCTACGGGGCCGCTGTGCCCGAGTTGGATCCCACGAAATTTCGACGGCCCAAGGGGCCCAAGGTCACCCGAACGAGGCCCGGGCGTATGGTTTTTTTTGTTTAGGGGGGGGAGGATGGCAAACAATCCATTAATCCTTGTTAATGTATGTTAATGATTGTTAATGTATGTTAATGATTGTTAATGTATATTAATGTCCCGGAAAAAAAAAAGATATTTGATATATTTGCTCGTAATCTACAATCCCAGTTATTGTATAATGCAAAATACCTAAACGCCAAACCAGGCGTTTCGTCTGGGGGTATTGAATATTAGAGGGAAGGGATGAAAAGGTTGCATGATGTTACTCTAGCTTAATCATTGGATGTGAGGCATGTGTATGTGTTTGCGTTGTTATCGAGGATTATTCCGTTATACACATGGGAATGCAGAACTGTTTGTACCAGCTCATGTTTTCGGGTTGCGTTTTGTCAGATGCCACAGCCTGCATGTATGTATGCAACAGTTGGTACTGTACAGGTGCGAAGTATCAGAAGGTCCGTGAGCAATTGTAGGCATGCCATTTCTAATGATTATGAAGATGTGAATTTGGTGCAGAACGATGATGATGCTCATGAGGGCGGTTCTGATGATGATGATGCTGTTGAGAATGCTGTTGGTGATAGCTGTTGATGGTATTTATGATCAAAACTGTCATGTTAATTCTCACCACTCTGGTCATAGCATTTGCCGTGGCCATTGCGCAGGCATTTGTACTTGGCCAACTGTGGCTGCCTGGCGTTATGACTGATGACTGGGTCCTGGATCAATTTCCTCCAATATAACATGCTCCCCAAACGGAACCCTGATTTAGTTTGGATTCATGAATTGTGAGCGTCATGGGGATGTTTTAATATGTTTTAGATTGCTGTAGTTTTTTTTGGGGTGTGGAGTGATTGGTGACATATGTGGGCTAACTTGGTGGTTTGTTGTTCCCCTGGTTGGTTTCGTTTCCAGCTCCGGAGCGGGTTGTCACGGAAAGCGAAGTCCACCAGGTCGTAGTTGCGGAGACACCGTGCCGCAACTCCTGCAGTGTTTGGAAGCCACGGAGGCCTCCCAAATCATGATTCAAATTGAGAGCTTCCAGCAATTTTAGCATATCTGGTTGGTGGTTTGGAACATGTTTTCCATATTTTGGGAATAATCATCCCAACTGACTTTCATATTTTTCAGAGGGGTTGAAACCACCAACCAGATATTTTAGCCGCATATATTTGTTGATGTTATTGCGTTTCACCGTCAAATTTGTTTCGGGCCCTGGAAGCGCGGCTTCCAGCCGCGCTCCAGGTCTCAGTGTTGGGGCTGCACCTTGGCGAGGGTGGTGTGTCCTATGCCAGCTTTTCAGATGCTGATGCTGCTGAGAGGGTCAAGGTGCGGATGGGCATTGATGGCAGAGATGTGGGTGTATCTGAAAATAGGCTAAACCCCTAAACCCAATGGTTTTGCTGATCATTATCCCTATTAAATGGCTATAATTGGGAATATACCCTATTTTCAGACAAACCCATGTATAGAAATATGTGCTATTGGATGCTATTGGGTTGAACGCGGTTGAACTGTTAGATTCACATTTGCTTCGAGCCGTCATAGGTTTGCTGATAGAATCATGACTTCGACTTCGAGGCTTCAAGGCCATAGTTTGACATTTTTGGAGGTAGATGTTTAATCAACGTCATACTTCCACTCTTGGAAATGTTTGGTGAGGGTGGCGCAACCACTATTTAATGGGTGAATCTTCACATGGCTCACTAGGCATATTTGGAGTCACCCTCCAGCAGCCACTCCTGGCGAGTGAAGTTTGCTGAGTTGGAAGACGAAGCCACGGATGGAGGAGTCTCTTGGTATTGCTGGGCCCAAAACGGCTGCCCCAACGTGCTGTTGGCGCAAAAGAATCCAACCGCCTGCAAAATCCAAGAAAACAAACATACATACATCAAGCTCGAGATATGTATTTGTTTGCTTTTTTAGTTACAGTCAGTTCTTTAAACTTTAAACATACATCTCAAGATGTGTTTTCTTTTGGTTGTGTTCTTCTTTGTATTTAATGTTGCTGTGGCAAATCAGCCCTGGAAAAAAAGTGTTTCATGTTCCCCGAACAATAAACATGAATAAACCATCTCCAACATCAAAGGTGGTATAAACCATCTCCAAGTGGATTTATGGCGGCAGCTGAGGTGCTATTGCCCGGCAGTGTGGCCTCCACCAAGCATGTGGAAGTTCCAGGCCGGAAACGCTTTGGCTTTGACCATCTGGGACTTTTCAGTGCCAGTTCATATTATTGGAGGGCTATGGTTGGTGAGTCTATTCCTAGACATTTTGCTAGAAACCATGAGAGTGGATCATTTGCAAGATGCATTAAATCTACATTGCTGCAATTTTGATGGATGCCTTCAGAATTTGTTTTGAATTGATGTGCATCTGGGTGTGCATATAGATAATATATATGAGAATATAATGATACATACACGCACATATATATATATATACATACACGCACGCTGGGGGTGCCGCCCAGGGGTTTATTATGTCACCAACTCTTTAGGGTTTGTTTGGGGGTTGTTTGCGGTTTGTTTATATACGTAGGGTTTATCTGACGTTCATTTAGGGTTTTCAGGGTTTACCACGGTTTTAATGATATTTTACTTTCAAGGCTTACTTGGGGTTTCATGTCAGATTTAGGTTTTTAGGGTTTAGGATTTAGGGATTGGGGTTTTGTGTTTTGGCAACAAATCTCGTCAGCCATTCGGCCATTCCGCCGACATCCCAAAATGCATAAAACACTGGTCCTGCGCAGTCAAAGCGCACTTCTTTGGGCAGCACCCCTGTCCTGGCCTATGTGTGATTAAATTACATGTGCATTTACACATTCACGATTCGGTGTTCATTTGTCTATCTTTACATATGCAACATGCAACATGCAACATGCCGCCCCAGGTGTACATGTGGTGGAGGACTTCATCAGCCAATCAGAGGCAGATGAGTTGCTGCGGCAAGTGGATCTCCAACCTTGGAACACCAGCGACTTGGCGGAACGAGGGGTTATTTTCCCGGCGCGCGGCGCCCAGGGAATCCCAGGGACGGATGGGCTACCATGAACTACCCTCTGGTAAACTAACATAACTATGGAAAATCACCATTTTCAATGGGTAAATCCACTATAAATGGTCATTTTCAATAGCTATGTTAAAATACCAGAGGGTAGCTTGTTGATGAGGGTGGTATTTTTTCAACTGTGTTTCTGGAGACTTTGTCATGACTTTGTCTAGGAGTTGAGTGGGATTATGGTGCCACTTTGTGTTTGGTGACTCTGACTTGTAGGTCAGACACATACTGAAAGACACATACTGAAATGCAAGATCGAGGAACCCAGCGAAGCAGGCTGTCTCTGAATCCAAGCAATGAATAAATTTGTCAAACGATCAGCCAAGATCTTTCAAGTGTTTTTTCTGACTTCAGTTCTCTGAGTCACTCAGGTATCAAGCGGCGGGTTCAGAGACTCAGTTGCACCTATCGCACCTCAGAGGGGTTTCAGTTCGCTCAAGAATGCCTCAATGAACTAAGACCCCTATCATCCACTGTCTTAATTAGCTTGGATCCAGATCTCAAACAAGAAATTTAGTATCCTTCCTACTTTTACTTCAGCTTCGCACATGGTCGTTCGCGGGGGGGACTGGCCTACCGTTAGGCACTACGGCCGGGCCTTTGACTATGCTAAGCTCATGATTGCGGCAGGCGCAGGGTGGAGGAGTAACTGCTGGGTCGACGCAGACAAATGAAAATTCCAAAAAGCCTATCCTAGGCCCATGTTTTGTTGGCATCCAATTATTCATTTCGTTCTCATTCTACCTCCTTTTGTTCCCCACCTGCCAGGTGAGGGTTGTTAGATTTTATGTCAGTTGCCTCCTCGTCCTCCTTCTCCTCCTCCTTCTCCTCCTCTCCTCCTCCTCCTCGTCCTCCTCGTCGTCCTCGTCGTCCTCGTCGTCCTTGCTCAACTGCGACCCGCGATCCACAGTGTTCTCTGCCGGACCTCAACCACGACCATCCACGCCCAGTGTTCCCTGCCGGACCTCAACCACGACCATCCACGCCCAATGTGCCCTGCCGGACCTCAACCAAGACCATCCTCGCCCAGTGTTCCCTGCCGGACCTCAACCACGACCATCCACGCCCAGTGTTCCCTGCCGGACCTCAACCGCGAGTATCCACGCCAAGTGTTCCCTGCCGGACCTCATGTAGGAAGATATGGGACAAAGAATGTGCAGAAGAAGGTTAGAAAGAATGTCAGAAAGAATGTCAGAAGATATGCCAGAAGATATGCCAGAAGATATGCCAGATAGAATGCCAGATAATATGCCAGAAGATATGCCAGATAGAATGCCAGATAGAATGCCAGAAGATTTGCCAGATAGAATGCCAGAAAATATGCCAGAAGATATGCCAGATAGATATGCCAGAAGATATGCCAGAAGATATGCCAGAAGATATGCCAGAAGATATGTCAGAATATATGCCAGATATGTATAGAATGCCAGAAGATATGTCAGAATATATGCCAGAAGATATGCCAGATAGAATGCCAGAAGATATGTCAGATAGAGTGCCAGAAGATATGCCAGATAGAATGCCAGAAGATTTGCCAGATAGAATGCCAGAAGATATGCCAGATCATATGCCAGAAGATATGCCAGATAGAATGCCAAATAGAATGTCAGAAGATATGTCAGATAGAATGCCAGAAGATTTGCCAGTAAGAAAATGTATAAATGTCATGGTGGGGATCACACGAAGTAAAGTAATTTATTTACATCGAATCGAATCCAATCCAAATCAATCTAAATCTGCTGATCTGTATCTGGAAAAAAAGACCCTAGACGAATATCGTGATATATCATATGAATTCATATGATATATCTATATTCACAAAATTTCACAAATATGTCTGTATCTATTTATCCATTTACTTCTCATCAATCCATTTGCCAAGACTCCGGCCTTGAACCCAACTAGCTGCGTAGCTCTTGGAAATCGAAGCACCTTGGGAATCCTTGGGATACCCCGACACAAACCACGTAACGTATTAATATGTCATGATATTTCCATACGGTTCAACATATTTCAACATCCTACGTAATCAAAAATAAAATACTTTTAAGGTAAACCCAATCGTAAACCAATCGATTTGTTTAAGCTTTTAGCACCCACTCCATGTCATATTCCGAATGGTGTACTATTAGATTTATCACATTTGACATACATTATCATACATTACCCCATTATCTCACCATATTCCCATTGGATTACCGTACACCCTTCCGGTTTCTCGGTGAAATCCCCATGTTTCAATGGTAAACCCCTTCAGGCGCCGTCCCCGAGATGCCTGACTTCTGTCAGTCACTGGTGACACGCCTGGAAAGCAGCGATTTGTTGCCCCACGCCATCGATCAGCTGACGGTCAACGAGCGGCTGGTCATCTAAGCGGGTGATGGATTTCAACAACAAATATGGAGATGTATATGGAGATGATTTAACCAGACAAATATTTACTCGATATGGATTGAATCATATTTGTGATATAGATTTATGGTTATGATTTAGATTTCTGGAAATCGGGATTTATGATTTAACCAGGAAAAATCGTGGAGTAATGGGGATTCCAAGCTCATGGGAAAATCATGATAGGTGAAGAATGATGGATTTAACCAATAAGAATGGAGAATTTTCATGGATAATTAGAACACAATTAATGTCTAATATACCCTCCGGTGTCATCACGGCTGGCTGGGAAATCCACACTTCAAGTTGGCACTTAAATGGGAAAATCATTGAACTAAATGGGTCATTCTCCACCACACCTCGTTTGATTACGCGAAGGTATCAATCCCAACAGAAAATATGTAGGGATGTGAATCCCAACAGATGGGGAGCTCACCAATAATGGATGTATTAAGAACAATCATCAACAATGATATTTGGGGATATGAATCCTCATTGTTATTCGATACATGCTATGTGTTTTCTCCTCGCAGAACGTTGGTGCGATCCTCTCTGCAGCGTGGCCAATGGTGCTCCCGAATAGATATAATAATTTACATAATCATACATATACGTATGTAGTGGTCCTCCTTATATTGTATCTATATCATTATGCGTGAAGATATTAAAGATAAAAATTAAACAACAGTGGATTATAATTCATGAACATGGTGAATTTAATACTCAACAAACACACTTGTGGAATTCTGCTGGTCTTAATCTATATGGGAATCAAACAGCCAACCAGGGAAGGGGGTCCAAGCTTTCCGCACACCAGACATGGCTTGAAGTTGGGTGTGTCCGAAAATGGTGAATAGCTCAAACAAAAATGGCAGTTGAGTGCCCTATTTTCAGATAAGATAAAACCAAAACATGATGCTTTCACAAACAATGAGGATTGGCTGTAGAGTAGATAGTCTAACTTACAAAGGATATGCCGGAATGACCAGGCTTAACATCATGGGATTTCACATCTGCAAAAGGAAAAACGCAGCCACGGTTTCAAACTGGTTCTATATATATATATATAGATAGATAGATAGATAGAGAGAGAGAGAGAGATCCGTTTTTGAAAAACAATATGCTGTCAGTTGTTCGTTTCCTATGTGTCTTAAGGTTTTCCAATCCCATGGTCCCAACTCTGTGTCCTATATAGATGGGGACCTACAAGATAAGCGAAATACTGTTCTCACCGCAGCACCTCACCTCGCACGGCAAAAGGTACGAGCCGGGCATTGGCATCGCCTTCCACGTCGACGCCCATTCGGCCTTCGAAGAGGGCATCGCTGCCGTGACCTTGGGCTCGGGCATTGTTCCTCGACACTGATTTCAACCGTTCCGAACAGTGAGGGGCGATGTTTGGGACGTTTAAACATGTCAAAAGTCAAACAGATTTTTGATCGAAAATATGGCTTAAGCACATTTCGGATGATGACACCACAATTGACTCATTGTTTGTGATGGCTTGAAATCATAAACCAGCGAAGACTGGAAACACATAGCGCCTTGATGGCCAGACTAACCCCAAAAAATCTTGGTTCAGATTATGGGAATCGTCTAACATGTCCTTCCTCTAAATTGTTTTTTGGAAATGTGTGAGAATGATCTACGGTCGAATGAAGAGAAAATCTGGATGAACAGCACCATGGATTGGTAAATACTTTTGGTATTTTGGTTGATTCTGATGCTACTCCGGTTCTCAAAATGATAGTGATAGCAGCAACAAACACAAAAAGTGTTTGTAAATTGTCAACACCCACAACATTCTTAAACAACATCTCTTGGCTGTTGGTTTTCTTCCGTTTTGGAAGCTGGATATATTCCATTGAAGTTGGACATACGGTTTGAACTCTTCCAAGGGGCTTATGCTTGCATTCCGTTTTTCATGCGAGAGGAGGATTCCCTGCAGGACAAGATGATCACAACCACAAGCCACATTTTCCTGCATGATATATTGAACAATCACCTCGTTCTTTGTGATGTCAGACTTGTCGCTCATTTCCCATGAATTAGTATATAAGCAATGTAATGTAGATTTGAAACATTCTCCTTGTAGGATGGAATTACAATGGTTTAACCTAATTACCCATAATTCTTCCATGCTTTCACTGTGATGATACCCTCCTGTCTTGGTTCAAGCAACCACTCCACCATCCGTCCTAATGCTCGATGACAGTCCTGACACAGAGGTCATGGAATTTCGAAAACCTGACGCCGCAGCTGAGCTGAGCTGAACTGATGTGCAAACTGGGTCCTCACCAGAACCCGACACCAAAAATAATAGCAAAGGAAAGGATCCCAGAATATCCCAGAATGGGACACAGGATGACACAGATCGATTTTCAAATTGGGAAGTAAGATCATCCACCAGAGGGGTTGGTGAATAGTTTGATTTTTAGCGCTCCCCGCGGAGAGATGTAGCGTACTATATCCCTACTACTAGTAGTTCATCTCCGAATCTTTCCAAAAGCAGTCGGTCATCAGATAGATCCTTATTTGTGGCTGTGAAACCATCATGTTGGCTGGTTGCACATCTGTATCATAAGGAAAACAGGGTTGCATCCCAATCAAGACGGGATAAAAACATGTTCTATGTTCTTTGCTGGTTATATCAATATCCCATAATATCCCCATCAAGATGTGGTAAACGCCACATGTTTGCTGGGTGAAATCCCATCTACAGCTGATTGGTTTCACCCCAGCAGAGGCTTCGTCCGGGAAGGTGTCCATGGGCAAACACCATCGCATGGCGCCGGCCCTTCCGAGTCTCAGCACTTGGGGATAGCTGGAGGTTCCCATGCTTTCTTGATTTTTGTTTGGTAAGGCATGGAGGAGAAAGAAAATGGCCACACACACACACACACCCGCGCGCGCACATGCAGCAAAGTGATGTAGCATATGTGATTTCACCTGGCATTGTCCTGCACATTGGTTGATGGCAGCTTCAAGTACCGCACAAGTCAGCGATTCGCTATTGAAATTGTTGCTTCAACATAGCAGCCTCAAGTTTAGCATTTACAGAGCCGGTGGTTCTGTGGATATCTCACTTTGTTCGTTGACTCCAGGATTCAGGATTCCAGTGAGGTTAGGTGCATCATATATGCCGAGCCAGGGTTAGCTGAGGAGCTCTGTGGAAATCTCGAAGAATGTTTGGCTACCGCCGCGATCCCTGTGACTCAGCTTGTGGGTCAAAGGTCAAAGGTTGGAAGATGCTGGAAGATGTTGTGTCAAGAAGCTGATCACGATTCCAAGTATTTCCAAATTATATCCCGAAAAATGATCCAAAATGATATCGGAAAATATTAGAGACTAATCCTTCCAAAATGGTTCCAGAATTCTCCCAACAACATCCGCCAAATCAGCACTGGCGCCAGGCTCATCATCCGTGGCGAAGCGCGCTACGCATGGCTTCATGGGATTGCTTGGAGGAAGACCGACTGCGTGGACGAGGGCAGCTCAGTTGAGACGCCGTTTTCGAGACCCAAAGTTACGAGGAAGTAGAAATGTGCGGATGATGATGATGATGATGATGATGATGATTTTATGGCATTTTATGGCATTTTGTGGCTTTTTATTTTTATGGCATTGACCTTCCTGAATCGTTTTTGGGGCATATGGGCGCAAAAATATAGGGCCCCAAAAGGAAAATGAAGATCGGGGAGAAGATGAAAATGAGTTTCCCGCTGGAAAAAGATGACGCTAGTATAAATCCTTGTTTCTTGCTAAGCTGCTAAAGTTGAGGATGTACTGGTACCAGCATGCTCGTTGCTTCCATGCCTGTTTTTGTATGATTAAATATCCTCTATGTTGATGGGTCTTATCATTTCCCCGTCGAGGTGTGTTTAGATAAATCGATAGTTAGATTAGATTCGATTAGATTAGACAGACAGACAGATAGATAGATAGATAGAGGAGTAGGTACACAGGTACCCAGGTAGCCAGGTTCGATTCCTCCAAGGCAAAGTCATCCCTCGTCAGCGGCGCGTCTCCCTGACCTTTCGCATGGCGCGGCAGAACACACCGTGCAGCTGCGCATGGCCAACCATGTGCGACAGCCAGTGTCTTGGAGATGGCTTTGGATACTGGCTACCCTCCAGTGTTTACTAAGGTAGCCATGGAAAACCACGTGATGATCTAATAGGTAAATCATCGAATTAGTTGGGCCATCAACCATGGCAAACGGAAAGAAATTGCCACACTAGGATGCCATGAGGCTGATGGATTCAACATAAAAACCTGATGTGATTTGGTTCAAATGGTTCAACCATGTTCAACCACCAAAACACATGAGACGTTTATAAGCACCAAACACATGGGATTTGAATGGATTTGATATATGCTTTTCGATTTAGCCCAGACAAACCGGATGGGAGCTGCAACCAGCTGCCCAGGACTCCTGAAGCCCATGGCTTGCCCAGCCGCTTGCAGGGTTGAAATGCTGTGGGAAGAAAAAGGTGTTTGAAGATGAGGAAATCCATGGCCAATCAGATGTGACAGCCGAAAATGCATGTGCTGTCTGGTTCTTCGATGGGACAATCACTTGCAGGATGAGATGGGTCTAGATCATTGAAAACCAGGATGATTCCAAGTTGCAGCTCACATAGTTACAATTCTCCGTTTCCAGGAGCGGCAGCTGCAGAAGATTGGTGCCGAGATGAAGGCTGTAGGGATTGATGTGTTGTCAAGTTTTCTTGGGTTTCAAGATGTTTCAAGATGTTACGATGTTCAGCAAGTATTACACTCCCCACTATGAACTGATCCTTTTTTAACGTTTAAACTAGTTTAAACCATGTTAAACCACGATTTTCGACCGTTAAAAACCAATCGTGTTTGATACGTTGCGTCACTGTTTTTCCTCCAGTCCCAGGGGAAAAAAAAAACGTCGCCAGGTGAAACAGGATGAGATGTTGAGCATCTTGAAGACCGCAGCTCCGTGGGGGTTGATACCACTACCGTCAGGGGGGATACTGCTTAGTGGTTTGACGTGTTTTGAAGGGGGTGTTGATACTACCATAAAGACTATGTATTTACTATGACGTGTACATATATGATCATGATCTATATTGTTAAGATGTTCGGTCACTTTGCACATGTGAGATCATGTGAGTTTCTTTGTGCCCGGATGTTTGTAGAGAAAAAACATATATATATATATATAATGCAAATATCGGCAGAATTTCACACAGGCAAAGCTGGGATTTTTGTGGGGGCCAACCAGGCGGATGTCACAAGTCCCAGTGGACAAGATGATTGGAGTGCCCAGTAAAACCTAGAGTTTAAATATGTTGAACTGGAATTATATAGATGAATGATAGAGAGAGAGAGAGGGAAATTAGATGAATGAACTGCATTAACTGCACTAGGTGGTATTTTAGAAATACAATATAATATAATACTATATATGTGTGTTTGATTATGTTTGTATTTTTATGGTTGGTTATGTTGACTGCTTGGTGGCGCTGTGCAGATGCTTCATCCCACAGTCCCACAGGAACAACATCAAGAAAGCCCGCGGGGAACGAAGCACTGATTTCGAATCTCGGCGTCGAGTGATGGGAAGCCTACAGTCCCTGTAAGGTTTACTGTTGTGATTATCACAATTACTGTTGGGATTATGGTCCCCTAGAATCCAATATTATAACATGAAACATCATGGATATCATTGGGATTGCCATTGAATTCTCAATATATATTTTTTTTCTTTGCTCATGTCTTCTTGACTTGGAGGGAGCTTTTGGGGATTGATTGTCCTCCAGAAAATCGATTTCAAAACGAGACCAGTTCCCACTTTCGATCAGCACTGGCCATGACTTTCCCGTCGAAATCTAAGACACTTCCTTGATCTACGTCGAAGGCTCGGGAGGGGTAACTTCTGGGGCCTCTGAGCTGGCACGGGGCCACACATATATATCTCAATGTCATGATATTCATTCGCAATCATTACCCTCTGGTAATTTAACATAGCTATGGAAAAATCACCATTTTTAATGGGTAAATCCACTATAAATGGCAATTTTCAATAGCTATGTTAGTTTACCAGAGGGTATTCACATGTTGTTTTGGTATGTTTCTGATCCCTTTTGTGGTTGAATCCACCATTCAATAATTTGCAGTGAAGAGTAATTCAACAACCAGTCAGAGATGGCTAATTGGATCCAATTGCATCCAATTGCCCAATTGGTATTTATATATATATCATGTTATATCATGTTATATCCAATTGAGCCATTGACAATACCCTGGCTGATGGGTTAATAAAAGGGAATTGAATTATGCTACCTAACTGTTTGGGACTATGATAATCCATAGGGGCCAATTGCACTTGCTACCAGGTAGTGAGCTCCAAGAGCTCGTTGGAAATTCGCATGGCGGCAACGCCAACACTGCGCTGCCGTTGAACTCGACGGATTGGAGCTGGATGTCTTTGGATGTTTGGAGCTTGATACTATAACATATAGTAGGTATTCATTGCTGGAATTTTGAGATCTTTGTGAGTTCCAAGTTCTGAACACCAGTGAACTCAATCTGAACGCGACTGAAGTAAAATCGATATCTTAATGCGAATGAACGTCGTCGGACATGTTCAATGCGGAGCTCTCCATGGTCCCTGCTCCACTGCGCTCCACTTGTTTCGATTCGGCAACATCCCAAATCATGGGATGCCATTGAAGAAGTCATCCACCAGCAAAGTTTATGGTGGATATGGTGCTCTTGGCGCAGGGGTAAGATTGCCCCGCCAGACGGCCGTAGGGTAGTTGGTGGATGGGACAGGCTGCAACCATTTGCAACCCCTATCCAGGTATGCTTGGGGCCTCTGCTGAAGTTTTTTCCGTGCTGGGGGGAAAAACAATGTAAGGTCGGTAAATTGGGGAAGGCCTTAATTTAGTCATCTGAAAGTTATCCTGTGCTGATCTTAATTACACATGTTGCTAATTGTTTCTATATACATTTGGATTTGCTACGAACGGCCACGAATAAACAACACTGCAACCATGAGGAAGGGGAACCATTGCCATCTATTATATATATATACATATTAATAGTTATTTCCTCCTCATCCACTCTAATTTCTCCATTGATCATTCAAGTACAGACAACTGTGTCTTTGCACATGAATCCACATAACATTGCATGTTCGGTGATTACTGATGTATGATTGCCGTAAATACCCGTGTCCTTCAGTTGTTTGCAAAGGGTCGGGGATTGGTTTATATATATATATATACAAATATATATATATATACATACATACATACATACATACGTAAATTAAGCATCGGGTTCTTCGGGGTTCATTCCCCAAATGGTTGGGAGATGTCTAAATGGAACATTTGGGTACAGTGCAACTTGGGGGATCTGGTGAGTTCACGCAAAGCAAATGGTTTGATGGTACTGTAATTTAAAATCATCCAAATTGCGCTTGCCGGCCTGGCCGGCCTAGATTTTCGCCATTTTTCGCCCATCCCCCTTCTCTTTGCTTCCAGTTTGGCAGATCACCCCACCAAGCCTGCGGCGTCAGAATTTGATAGCTTAGTTTAACGACCGGTGCGGACGGGCGACTGTCGGTGACCAGGGTCGAAGCAACGGAAATCGGATGAAATTGTGGAGTTTACCCGAAGAGATCTGGATTTAACCAACATGCGGATGGTAAAATCATATAGGGCTACAACATCTACAGCCAACAGGAATGCAGGATAAAGAATCAGGAATTGGGGTTCAATGAAGGAGAAATGTGAACTTGGGATGTAAGCAAAAAACATGTTGTGCGAATTAACCAGAAAATAAGGTTCAACCATGGAAATATTGAAGATGTGGGGATGTAGCTCAATCTTAATCTTGGGAAATTCACAAGCAAATTAACCTTGCTTTGTTAAGCATCAGGCTGGCATTTGTTCTTGAACAGATCAGACTAGTTCTCCATGGCCGCATCTGATCTTTCAAGCATGTTTAAACCAGATTGCTCTTACCCTAGGGTAAACTAACATAACATGACATAACTATGGACTATGGAACATCACCTTTTCTTTATATCATTTTATGGGTAAGATCATCTCTAAATCACCACGATATCGATGGAACAATTCGGACTGGAGCTTTCGGACTGGTGGAGCTGCTAACCACAAAACAGTGCTGTGATTACCCTCTGGTAATTTGCTACATAGCTATTGAAAATGGCCATAGAAATAGTGGATTTTCCCATTGAAAATGGTGATTTTCAATAGCTATGTTAAATTACCAGAGGGTAGAGCCTGGAGATTTTTCAGAAGCAATTCGAATTTGTGTCGCATTTTGTGTCGCTAATGGCTCAAAGTGTTACACTATTGTCAAAGAGCCCTTCCCGCCTTTAGATGGAACATCAATGAATCCAATTGACTTTGAACAGCCCGGGCTCTTCAGATTTCTGGCTTACTTCATTCCTGGGTGCCATGAACAAATGCGTTGCTGCTTGGCATGAGAAGTGACCAGCGGCATCATTCACTTGAGTTTTGCTTGAGTTTCATTTACTGAAGAGGCGAAGGGATCCGACGAAATGTCGATCCGCTGGCTTCGCTAGTGGCTGGCTATAGAATCTTATGACTTCTGGCGACGGAAAGACTAGCGCAGCGGGGCAAGCTTGGTGTGATGGAATGCTGGTGGCAAAGAAGCGGCAAACTTATTCCATGTGTAATCTGGAAGGGCGACCTGCGTTGGGAAATGGCCAGTGTGAGATTCCATGTCTACAACAACAATGTCTAAGTCTTCAAATATGATTCTGGCTGATGGCATCAGACGGTCTAGACAAAAAATGGCAGGGTTTTGACCGGTCTGAGTCTATATACTAATTCCGTGAAGCTATACAAAAGATCACAACAGAAACCATTTGCGTTGCCCCATTGGGTTCCAGAGGCTCCAGTATTGCTATGGATTGCTCAGGAATAGCATCGCGCTGGCCAAACTGGGAGGAGCATCAACTGGAACTGGGGCAGCAGTCCTTACCTATGGGAGTAGAACATGGTGTATAGACATGATGTAGGGACATGTGCGACGGGTAGATATTCATGTCTATTATGCTTGTATGATGTTGTAGATACACCTGTCACATATTCCTCCACCAATTGGTGGACCAACTCTTCCACTTAGATTATATTACTAGTTAGTGGTTTGGAACATTTTTATTTTTTCCCATATATTGGGAATAGTAACCCCAACTGACTAATATTTTTCAGAGGGGTTGAAACCACCAACCAGATTAGATTATTGGCCAGCAGGTCATTGGCCAGCAGCGTCAGGATTTGTACTGTGCAGCGACCTGCATCGAGAGCGGCTGAAGAGCGTGTACCGGGCAGAATTGGAGAGAGAAACATGGTTATAACATAAGTTATAACATATTACAACATGTTAGTGTGCGTCGTTGGTGTTCTGGATATGGAAATGGCTTATCCTTTGGTAAACATGCAAAAAAACTGTGGAAAA